TAAACTCTATGCTTTCCTAGCACCACTAGTGAGCCAGGTGGTCCCATGATGCTGCTGGATTACAGGTCTCAGAATCCCCAAACATGGGTTACATCAGTGGCTTCAGCTCCCTGCAGTTGGAATCCAGTACAGTGGGGTCTCTACTTAAGAACGTCCCTACTTAAGAACAATTCCACTTAAGAACAGCTCCATTTGCTAAATTTTGCTTCTACTTGAGAACAAAAATCCAGATAAGAACAGGAAAAAAAAACTTTCCTGCTCTTTTTTTAACCTTAGGTCATCTTAGGTTAAAAAAAAGTTCGGTCTCAGAATCCCCAAACATGGGTTACATTAGTGGCTTCAGCTCCCTGCAGTTGAAATCCAGTACCATCAAGGGGTTCTAAGGAACCAATCATTGCCTTGGAGATGTTGTCTCAGATGGCACTCCTACCTCAGTACTGTAGTCAGGATAGTTTTGTCTGATCCAAGAAACTATACATAGTTACTAGATCTGGCACATACTAGGAGCAACTTCAAATTGTATGTTATAACCTTGGCTTGTTCTTAACTTGGTTAATTGAAGACTCTGTGGCTTATGGTAGTGTATTGAGCAGAGAACAAGCGACATGGGGATAGCAAACAGAAAGTTTCTGCATATATCATCTTATTGAGATATGATTCTCCGATCATAGGTATTCTATAAGTCTGGAATTTCTCACTAGCCACTTTGAGTTGGCTGTTAAAAGATCTATTCTGAGAGGTTATGTATAAATGCATATTTTCCTGCAATTCTAGGGAATCCCCTGAGAATGTGGAAAACCAGGCTTTTTTTAAAAAAAAAGTATGTTGTTGTTATGCACTGTCAAATCAGAACCAACCTCTAGTGACCCTAATAGGGATTTCAAGGTAAGTGTGAGTGATTTTACCAGTGCCACAACCCCAGTGAGTTTCCATGGGTAAGCATGGATTTCAGCCCAGGCTTCTTGAGTCCTATCACTCTATCCACTACACCACACTATCGTTGGAGACAAAACATGCAGTTGGAAACTGATAGACGTCAACTCAGAAGAAATGGAATTGCTCTGATAGTGAGGCATCATGATTCATCTACGTATCAGTTTCCAACTGCACAGATTCCCCACCACCACCACACAATTTGTGTGCAACCCCAAACAAAACTGTCAGGAACCACCATCTTATTTTTTGGTGATGCGTGTTTCCCCTCCAACCTGGTAGATGTTCAAACTCCAGAGCTCACATTGGAGGGGACGTTTACGGGCAAGGGGTCCCCAAGTGGTTACAAGAGCGCAATGTTTCATAGTGATGAAATCGCTGCCATCTTGCCTGGTGTTGGTGATTTGGAAATTTACTTGATTAATGATTAATCAGCATTCCCCAGTGGCCGGAAGAGGAACTCTGGGTTGAGGAGAGGGTAGCAACATTCCACTGTTGTGATAAGCATCTTGTTGTTGGCACTTTTCTCATATTGCTGGAGGCCTTTTGGCCGCCCAGCACTATGACTGACCATGCTTGGTTGATCACATATCCTGACACAGAAGATCTTTTGGAGGCAAGCTGTGTTGTCAAGTCCAGGAAGTGTCCAATTGCAGGAGTTGGCCAGGGGCGGTGCAGGGCAAGACTTCGAGCTAAATAACTAACCAGGGAGTAACATCTCAATAGAGACCTATAGAGGATTATGCTTATCTGAGTACCAGCCACAATCAGTGGTTGATCTGCTGACCAGCTTTTCTCTAACTCACCAGAACAAAATAAAACATGGTTTTGTACAGTCATGGAGTGGAACTGTGCCTCGATTGCTGCAGTAGTGCTGTCAGAAAGGGTGATTAACCCCTTCAGGTTAAACCGCAGAAGCCTCTGTGCTGCAAGGTTAAAAGACCAGCAGTTGTAAGACCGAATCCATGCGACGGAGTGAGCTCCTGTCGCTTGTTCCAGCTCCTGCCAACCTAGCAGTTTGAAAGCATGCAAATACAAGTAGATAAATAGGTACCACCACGGTGGGAGGGTAATGGCGTTCCATGTCTAGTGGCACTGGCCATGTGACCACGGAAACTGTCTATGGACAAAAATCTGGCTCTATGGCTTGGAAACGGGGATGAGTACCGCCCCCTAGAGCTGGACGCAACTGGACTAAATGTCAAGGGGAACCTTTACCTAATGAGTCAATCACACACACACCCATTAATCACCCCAATGACTTTCCCACCTATGGATGTGAAAATTAATGACCATGTTATTTTCTCCCATGTTATTGCTCAATGGCAGGGGGAGAACTTCAATTGCAGAAAGGACCTGTAGGGAGACAGTCAATTTTGCAGCAACCTAAAGCTGTGTTTTCTTTTTTTTAACAATTTTCTTTGAAAGCCCAGTTCTGTATCTGTGTTACTGCTTGTAAGAATACCCCCTACATTTGTCACAGGCATTATTAGTTGCACGTATATCCTTTCTTCAGTGAGCACAAAGTGGTGTAGGTTTCCCTCCATTTATTTTATTCTACAATACTGTTGTGAGATAGCTCTAGTTCAGAGGTGTAACTGGCCCAAGGTCATCCATTCTTCCATGCACAAATGGAACTTTGAACCCAGGTCTCCTGAGATGTGTTGTTTTGGTTATGATTTCTCATTGGTGAGAACAATCGGAATACCACAATGGGCCTCTGCTGTGATCAAACATTGGTTTGGTTCCCCTGATGCCTAGGAACCAGGGTTGCTAGGTCTTAGGGGGAATCAACTGAGGTATCAGGGAATTGCAGTGGTTCTCTGGGTTTCCAGACAGGGAGGGAGATCTGAGGGCGAAGTCCACCCATTCCAAGCTGGTGTGGGGCTCAGTGGTACAATGGAAAGGCATCTGAATGTATACTATGTTTTCTTGCCCAGTCCTCTGCTGGGACATCACAAGGGCCTTTATTCTGGCCTTGAAATCTCACAGAACAGGGTAACGTTGACCTGGTAACACAACATGGGAATGAGGAAGGAGCAGGGAGACATACAGAGAATTGTCAATTTTGTTGGGTGAGCGGTTGCAATAATTTGGCTTCTTGGGTGGGGGTTGAGTAGTCATATCCTGCATGAGGCTATCTGATAATGGCTGAAATCCTGATGTGCAGTGATGCAAGTGGCATAACTTTTGGACACAAATTGCCATGAGTTACAGATTTTTTGCACACATTTTCTGTCACATACTGTTGTGTGCCTCAATGTGCAACAGATAATGCCGTAGCAATTCATGTATAAAAGTTATGCCATTCACATAACTGCGCAACAGGATTTCAACAATGTGCAACAGATAATGCCTGCAGAGATCTTTTAACTTGTAACAATTCATGTATAAAAGTTATACCATTCACATAACTGTGCAACAGGATTTCAGTGTAGTCATTGTTGCCTGTACCTTTCATCATCAAAACAACAACAACAAAAAAACCATATTAATTGTACAGTCCCAGATGTGTGTGTGCACTAGGAGTGTCTTGAATTGCAGAATGAAACCTATGGTGGGTGGGCTTATAGAAACATACTTTTCCTCATATAAACTGTACCACTGTGGATAGATAGGTCTGGACATTCAGAATTAATATAGGCAGTGAAGGGTGGGCCAGTTTATTTGGGGTTATAAATTACTACCTATTATAAATTACTACGTACCAAAAATACCTAAGAAAACTAACAATATTTTTGTACCATTCAAATTCATCAAATTGTTCTCCAAATACCTCTTATGAAAGACCTTTTGTTGGATAGAGATTTAGTCATCCTTAGAGTAGGTCTATTAGAATCAGTGTAATATAAATCCTATTGCTTTTTGTATGTGTACATTAAGTGTGACTAATTCTGGATCAAACTACATTTGGTGTTTATAATTGTACAGTATAGTATATATAGTGTTTCATAATGTTAAAGTGAATGAGCATTAAGTTCTTTATTAAAGCAGCAACCAGTTCTGGAGCAGACTTGCAATCTCTTTCTATTGTCAAGTTTTACCCCTTTCTCTAGTATTTACAAATCAAACAGGGTTGGTTTTTTTCATTTGCATTTCATCTATAGAGCATTAAAAAAACTAGTAAAAATGAGAGGGCTGCTCATTTAGTCAGACTTTCTTCCCTTATTATTATTGTTTCTTCTCATATATACCAATGTAATCACTGGCTGTACAGGTATAGAATTCAGTTATACATTAGTGGTGCATTTTTATTTTTAAGAAAAAAAATTAGTATTCAATAAAATTTTACCAGGCGTATACAAGGTTTTGAAGTAAGTTGATATAGATAAATGTTCAAACTCAGATCTGCAGCTAAAATTCAGCTACCTTGGAAGTACTATTGGTTCTGTCATCCAACTGTTTCTGTGATAGCACTTTCTCATATACAATAATTAACTCTTATCCAACAAATTCTGTTCTCTCTCTCTTTTTAATGAAACAGGAAAAATAATTATACTGATAAGCTTGCCTGTTCTCCATCTTATGCTAATAGTTTTCACATTTCTGGTCTTCTGGGCATGTTTCAGTAACCTCTCATATTTGGTAGGTGTTTATGAGGCTTCCCATTCTGTTGACAGGCTGATTGTAGACCATTAGGTATCTGGTTACAAAACCAGAGGTTGGCAATTCAATTCCCTCCTGTGCATCTTAGGGGAATAGCCAGCCTGTGTAGCCATGGAGAAGCTGCACAGTCCCAGGATGCTCTAGAAGAAGAGAATGGCAAACCACTTCCATATACTGTATTCTCTACCTAGAAACCCTGGAAAGAGTTGCCAAAACTGACTTGATTGCCTGCAGTTAGCTAACAAGAAAGTCTCGGTAGGCTGTTTTTCTGGAATAGTATTCTGAAATAGATTAGGAGGACCAAAAATTTCACATCCATGCTCCAGAGGCAAGTGTGAACCAAGCTTATCCTGGGGCAATGCACTGGGACAGGTCCATCAATGACAGCCTGTTTTGTGTTCACTGGCCATGAAGCATCCTTTTAAGATCACTACTTTTTCCTTTCTCCTCTTCCTTTATAGCCTGACTGGGAAGGAAGCCTTAACTCAGTTTCCTCTGCTGGGATCTTCCATGAACCCTGCCCACTGGAAGGCTCACTTGAAGCAATGTGACCTGCTCCGGCTTTCCCGGAAACAGAAAAGGCTTTGCCGGCGGGAACCTGGACTGGCTGAGACTTTGCGAGATGCCATCCGGCTCAGCGTCCTTGAGTGCCAGCATCAGTTTCGCAACGAGCGGTGGAATTGCAGCCTGGATGGCAGGGCTGACCTTCTGAAGCGAGGTATGAATGTCCACCTGTCCACAAACAGAGAGAGAGAAAGAGAGAGATGAGAAAAGAATGCTAGACCTATTACTATTTTTAGTCCTCTGCTTCTTCTACCCTCACCTTTTTCATCTAGGGCTGATTCCACCATTGGGTGAAGTAAGGCAGGTGCCCTCAGGCAGCAGATGCCTGGATGTCATGAAAAGGTGGCGAGGTATTTATGTTCTTTTTATTGGGCTTTTTTTAAATACCACAAATCTTGCAAGGATTTGGGTACTTTGGGCACCTTGACTTAGAAGGAATACCATTTGGGCTTTGCCTCACACAACAAAATGTCCTGGGCTGGTCATGTCCCTGATGTAAAAAGGATAACAAATCAGGGTAGGTAGTCTAGCCTTGTAAATTAGCCCACCAAAGATAATAGCCTAATTTTAAAAAATTGGACTGCAGTTCTCAAGGTCAGATTAGGTAAAACAAAATATTCAGTTTGCATTTAGAACCATATCTATTTGTTTTAGCAGAAGCTTCTATCACCTCCGTATCTTAACTTTCCAGGGTGCTTTATTTTGTAATTGGTCATCGGAAAGTACACATGGACATTATTTACATGTCTGACTGCAGAGGCATGTTCTGATGAACTCATACAATTGGATGAAAATTCCAATGTGCTCTCCTCTTTGAAATGCAAGCTGAATGTCTCATCTAATTTGAGCCTACGTTGGCTTTAATGAAGAAGAAGCCCAGTCCTCTGTCACCAGCATAGATATGCAGAGTACTAACTATTTCTTAGACTAATTTAAAAAAAATGCATTCTGCCAAATAGCCTGGTAGAAGAGCAGTGGCATCATCTGTATGCTGTCCACCAGCCTGCTATGTTTCTGTGAGAGCTTTGGAGAAAAAGCTGGCACAGGGAGCAGCAGAGCTGGTGGAGAAGGAATGAGCACAGCTTAGGAAGTTAGGTTTAAAAGTAATTCATTTCCATTGGTTTGCTATATTTGGAATACATGTTATTACTCATTATAGTGACTAAAAAGTAATGCGATGCACTCATCTACTATGTTGCTCGTTACTTTAGAAAAAAAGTCAGGGTTTTTAAGAGAATGGCACAAAACATGAAAAATGTCTGCCAATGTGCTTCTAAAACTATAATACGTAACTGAAAAGTATGATCCATTATATCCAAAAAGACAAAAGCAGTCAAAATAAATGTATTCGCGAAGGCTTTCATGGCTGGGATCTAATGGTTGTTGTGGGTTTTTTGGGCTCTTTGGCCGTGTTCTGAAGGTTGTTCTTCCTAACATTTCGCCAGTCTCTGTGGCCGGCAGCTTCAGAGGACAGCACTCTGAAGATGCCGGCCACAGAGACTGGCAAAACGTTAGGAAGAACAACCTTCAGAACACGGTCAAAGAGCCCGAAAAACCCACAACAACCATTAGTCAAAATAAACCTGGGAACTCCAGGAACTCTCACTTATTGAGGATAAGAACTGTCATGGTTTATCCCTCCATACTGCAGAGTCTAAATAAACTGAATGGCTAAATAAACTGAAGTCCTGCAGTTTGTATGTAATGAATTTGTAGACTTAATTATTTATGTGCAGGACAGCTCTATAAATCCCAGCAATCAAGATACCCCACTGAAATAAGTTCATTCACAAATTTGATTCAAAAGATATATCTTGCATCTTAAAAAGATATATCTTCAAATGAAAGAGGATTCACGTGCTTCATAACTATTCTCAGCTATCCTTGATCAATAAACCGGCATGTTGCTATAAATAGCAGCAAAGGCTACTTCTTAGTTTGCAAATAAGTGATTGAAGTTTCAAAAACTTTAGCAAAAGGTTGAAAAAAATAGAAAAAAGTTCAGATGTAAGGCTGATGTCAAGGCTACAGGGCATTCATAAAATAGTGGTCAAAGGAAGATGATGTATGAATTCAACCTAGACTTCAGAAGTGCAGGGAGACCAGCCAAAGAAGACTGCTTCCACCAATAGGCTAGAAAAGACTCATTGCTTCCAGGGCAGGGTGGCTCCCTATCTGAAGCTGAGCAACTAAGGAGTTGGTTCTTGTTGAATATGGATTGCTTCAGTGGAAGTGATGTGCAGGAATGGATAGAGGCTGGGTGTGGTTGTGTCTGTTTAGACATTGTTCCAAGTGTGGCTGTTCCATTAACAATGGAGGTATGTTGCAAAATAGGATTGTTCCAAGACATTTTGCTTCCTGCGATGCAGCTGTAACTAGTGCCTCCATGTTTATTGAATGAAGTTGCGTCATGCCCCAAAGCCAGGTTATTTTGCCACATGTGGAAGAAAGTTTTGCAAGTGTCACTCCCCATCCCTGGCAGTAAAAGTGGGAAACAAAAGTAATCATTTGCTGCCTTTTCATGAAATCCAAAATTGACTGCCTGGATGGTTTATACTGCTTAATGGTAGGACCCACCAAACTTCATGTCTTTTCCCCCATCATCCTCTACAGACATGCTCTTGCCTCACTCTTGCCTGCTTGGGTTCTTCTCCTCCAGGTTTCAAAGAGACAGCTTTTCTATATGCAGTGTCTTCAGCAGCATTGACTCATTCCCTCGCTCGGGCATGCAGTGCTGGACGAATGGAGCGTTGCACCTGTGATGACTCACCGGACTTGGAGAACCGCAAAGCCTGGCAATGGGGCGTGTGTGGAGACAACCTCAAGTACAGCACCAGGTTCTTGAAGAACTTCCTGGGGCAGAAGAAGGTTGGGAAAGATCTGCGGGCCAAGGTGGATATCCACAACACTAATGTGGGCATCAAGGTGAGGATTGAGACCTTGTGTGGTTTGCATATAGAAGAAGACGATTGGTAGATGCAAGTTTCCCTTGGCTAAAATCCTGTTCCTTAATGTAGTAGGGCTGCATTAGAGTAGGCTTATTGAATTGATAGAGATTTGTTGAGTCAACTCCTTCATACATTCCAGTGATTCAAATGGGCTTATTCTAGTTACAACTTAAGGTGTGACTAGACAGGAGAATTTGGACATAGCCAGGTTGTGTTTAGAAGGCTCTTATCTCTGGTGCAATCTATTTTATCTCGCAGTTCAGGAATCCTTCCATTCACATGGGAGATGTTTCTTCTAATGTGGGAAGGATCTAGACAGCACTTCAGATTGCTCCAATTTCTTCCCTTTTCAGTTACTGACACCAACGCTCCCAACCCACTTCCCTGTCTTTTGTTGTGACTGCCATTCTGCAGGCCATGGCAAGTTCTCCTTTTTTGGTTTAATGTAGTAAGTGGCATAGTGCTACACAAATACATCAACCTAGCATGGATACTCCCTTTTATTTGAAATAGCTCTGTGTCACTCAGGACAATATTTTTTAAAAAATGTGAGAAGAGGAAAATAGAGAAGAGGGTTCCTTCAAAAGGAAATTATCAAATTAGAATGTATTTGAGCTTAACTGGGACTGGAGGTTTCTTTTTTGCTATGATGGTCAAGTCTATGAAATGTATATGGTAATTTAGCAAATCTACAAAAATTCATGCCACGGTAATTCTCTTTATTATTTATTTAAAACATTTTTACTCCACCTTTCTCCTTAAAAGGACCCGGGGTGGCTTGTGTTAACTAATTGTAACTCTATTGGTCTTTAAGGCATCACAGTCTTTTGATTGTTGAGTGAACACAAGTGTGTTCCTGTGAATTTCACAGTTCATTTTTCTGTGAACTATTATGCAGAGACTGTGGCTATCAGACAAATCATGGCTAACATTTGTTTGATAAAACAGATCAGTGACCTGTTCTTGCCTTCAAAAGTTTTTGACCAACCATGAAATTCTCCTTCTGCTATTTTCCAAATTATTGTCCATGAACCTGGCATGTGATCATGAGTAACTCTCTACTTCTTCTCTGCCTTCCACAGGCTGTGAAAAATGGCCTCAAGACCACTTGTAAGTGCCATGGCGTCTCTGGCTCTTGCGCAGTAAGAACCTGCTGGAAGCAGTTGTCACCTTTCCACGAAACAGGAAAGCTCCTCAAGTTACGCTATGACAATGCCGTCAAGGTGTTCAGTGCCACCAACGATGCCATGGGCCACTCAGAGCTGGTGAGCCCCCAGCACCATGCTCACCTGACTAAAAGCCCCACCTCTCCTCGCCCCACTGACTTGGTTTACATGGAGGATTCCCCAAGTTTCTGCCGGCCCAGTAGGTTTTCTGTAGGCACTGCTGGAAGAACTTGTTCCCGGGAAGTCAACTGTGACAGCATGTGCTGTGGCCGGGGTTACAACATTCAGACCCGAATGGTCACCTTCTCTTGCCATTGCCAGGTGCAGTGGTGCTGCTACGTTGAATGTCAACAGTGCATGCAAGAAGAAGTGGTATATAGCTGCAAGCAATAAAAGGTGGTCCCTGGTTGCTGTAGAAAGAAGACAACATGCCCTGGACCTCCTTGGTACTTTGGTTTCCTCTGTTATATTTGGGATGAAAGTTACTTATGGGAGTCTCATCACTTGCAGCAGTTCTACAACACTGGAGATAATTGTTCCGTATAAATGCAGGGCAAGGTAAAAGCACAACAGTACTGGCAGCCAAACTCCAGGTCAGGCTCTGGTGTACACAAGTTGATTCTTCTAAAGAGTCAAGAGCCTTTGCTTTGAAGGTATACAAGGAGCTGTCTTATACTCTCAAGTCAGGCCAGCTAGCTTCAGACCTTGACCAGGAGAACTGTCCAAGGTCTCAGATAAAGAATTTTCCTAGCCTGGGAACCTTTATAAATTGAGATGTTGTGGACTGAAACTGGGGGTGTTATCTGTGCAAAGCATGGGCCGAGCTCATACTCTTTTCTAGAGCAAGCCAAGGGTCTAGTTTAAGGTCAAGATCTGAGTAGCTACTAACTTTTCACAATGAGATGGTAGGAGTGGCTATTTTATACAGTGCTGCTTGTCAGAATGTTCCGTATAGCTTGGATTGTCCTCTGGTGCAATGAAGCATTTTATTTGGCTATATCATTCTGGTGGCTAGCATTGCAACTTTGGCTACAGGCATAGCATGAGCATGTGGTATCCTCAGCATCTGCCACAGCTCCTGCTTAGCAGTCAACCGTACTGTTGACTCCAGTCCTGGGCCCCTTATCTGGGAGCCTCCATTTGAACTCCTCTGTTCAACTTCCTTGGCAGTGCCTGCTGTACCATCTCTCTGGAGTGATGGTGAAAATTTAAATCAGGGCCGGTAAGGTGAAGGGGCCACCCACTAGCTGTTGTTGAACTGGAAGCCCTAGCATATCTCACTAATGGTGATGCATATGGGAGCTCCTAGCCAGTGCTGGTTCAGGACAGGACAGTTGCTGTCAGGGCTGTTTGAGGAAGGACCGCTAGGAGGCACTTTTGAGGACTATCCCAACAGCCAGCTGATCTCCGCTTCATAGAGTCTACTCAGTTGGACAGGGAATGGAGAACTACTTTTGGCGACCTCAGTGGTGAACACATTCCCCTCCTTGTTGGATCGGTGCAGGGGAAGCTGTGACACTTGAGGTGGCAGAGAGAAGGTACTGCATTCTTAAGCAGTCAAGCACTTGTAGGTCCAAAATGAAAAGGTGTGCATGGCATAGAAGAGGGGCCTTGGGAGAGATTTGTTTCTCCTAGCATTTTGTATTGAGATAAGACTAGGAGAAAGAAAACTTGTAACTTAAGTGCACCCATGACGTACGTTAGCAGAGGCAGATGTGGGAGTTCGGCCAGTGGCAAGCTTAGCTGCATGGATATCATTCTAGTAGAGTAACCTCTCTATTGGGGAGAACGGCCTTTAGTTTCCAAACATTTGCATATTATGTCAGTTAAAATGCTTAGATTTGGCAATTCAAGATATCGTAACTCTATGTGAGAACCAAAGAAGAAAATAACACCAGGAAACAGCATGAATATTATTTGCTTTGAGGCTCCTGTTCAGCTTCACCAAGTATGATGTTTTTGGCAATTACTGAAATTAGAATATGAAACACAGTTACCATTCAGTGTGTCTTCTCATGAAGAACATCATCTGGATTGATGGTTGGAATCCTACTGATGTTCACATGAGGTTTGCATAACTTGCCACAGGTAATTATGACTGATGAGGTGCTGGGGCTTGTGTTGGTTGTTCAGTTGGGTGCATGACCAGGCACCTTGCCAATTAGCTGCAATTAGCCATGGCAAGTTACAGTAACACAAACCTTGTTGTTGTTACATGCCATCAAGTCACCTCTGACTTATGGTGACCCTATGAATGAATAATCTCCAAAATGTCCTGTCCTCAACAGCCCTGCTCAGCTCTTGTAAACTCAAGCCTGTGGCTTCCTTTAGGGAATTGATCAATCTCATATTTTGTCTTCCTCTTTTCCTGCTGTCTTCAGTCTTTCCCAAGCGTTATTGTTTTTTTCCAGAGAATTTTGCCTTCTCGTGATGTGCTTGAAGCTCAGCCTCAATTTCATCGTTTTTGCCTCCAGAGATAGTTCAGGCTTGATTTTTTTCTGGAACCCACCTGCTCATTTTTCTGGCCGTCCAGGGTATCTGCAAAGTTCTCCTCCAGCACCATATTTCAAATGAATCATTTTTTTCCCCTGTCACTTTTCTTAACTGTCCAGCTTTCACAGCCATACATTGTGATTGGAAAGACAAGAGTGTGGATAATCTTGGTCTTGGCCTCCAGTGGCACATCTTTATGGGATCTTTCCTTGTTCCTTCATAGTTGCCCTTCTGAGTCTCAGTTTTCTGATTTCTTGGCTGCAGTCTCCATCTGGATTGATGACTGAACCAAGGTATACAAAATGTCTAACTATTTCATTTTCTTCATTCTGTGTACAGACTGTGCAGATAAGGAGATAAAATTCACCCTTGTCTGATATCTTTATCCATAGGAATCTACTGTGTATCTCCATATTCTGTCCTAATGGTAGCTTCTTGTCCACAGTACAAGTTATGCATTGGGGCAATAGTGCTGAGGCATACCCATTTCTTTCAGATCAACTCATGGTTTCTCATGATCTGCACAGTCAAAGGCTTTGTTATAGTCTATAAAGCAAAGACTGGACTTCTGAAATTATTTAGCGTGCTCCAGTAGCCAGCAGATACAATATCGACTGCCTCTATCTTTTTAGAACCCAGCATGAACGTTTCTTAAAACACTTGACACTTTGTTGCAACACCTTGAGCAGCACTTTCCTTGCATGGAAAATTAAAGCAATGATCCTATAGTTACTACACTCCTTGGCATGTATTTTCTGGGGAATTGGAATATATATTGAACCCTTCCATTCTGTGGGCCATGGTTTTGTTTCCCCCTTTTTGTTGGCATATTCTTGTTAGGATTTTGACAGATTCAGTCTCTGTCGCTTTAAATAGTTCTATTAGTGTTCTGTCTACTCCTATGATTTATTTCTTCCTAGTGCTTTCAGAGCAGCTTTCACTTAACTTTGCTTCTAGGACTGCAGGTTCTTCATCATAGGATTCCTCTTCTGTCAGGATCTTTTAATCTCTCCTGTACAGGTCTTCAGTGTACTATTTCCACCTTCTGTTTATTTTCCTTTGGTCAGATAATGTGCTTTTCTGTCAGCCATTCAGCATTTCTAATCTAGGCTTAAATTTCCCTTTGATTTCTTGGATCTTCTGGAAGAGCTCTCTTGTTGTCCTGCTCTATTTCTTTGTACTGGTTATTGTAATATTTCTCTTAATTCTACCTAACAATTGATGAAAAACTGCATTCAGGGTTCTGAGCTTTACTTTTGCGTCTCATCTGTCTTTTACAAGTTTAAGTGTTCCTTCCATCATCCATCTAGGTTTGTCTTTTCTTCTTACTACAGGAATTGCTTTTTAAAAAAATCTTCCTTAATAATATCTCTGGTTTCAATCCACAGTTCTTTTCATTCATGATCAATTGAGTTTGATAATACACATCTGTTCCTTATGTGGACTTTAAATCAATCAGAAGTGGTGTTTAAATTATATTTTGGCATTATGTTTCTTGCAGTGTTCTTTGCAAGTTTTATTCTAATGTTGGATATTAACAGTTCATAATCAGTACTCCAATTCACTCCTGGTCTTGTTTTGACAGAGAGAATACAGTTTCTTCATCTCCTGCTTCCAATTACGTAGTCCATGTGATTTCTATATTGACCGTCTGACAATGTCCCCATGTATAGCTGTTTAGTTGCTTGAAGCATGTATTTGCAATAAACAAATAGTTGGCTTCACATAACTCTGTGATTTGTTCTCCTGCTTTATTTCTGTCCCCTAGACCAAAATTTCCAATTATATTTGGCTCTACTTTCCTCCCTGCTTTTCCATTCCAATCACCTATGATTATAAGCATATCATGTTTTTGTATGTGATGAATTCCCTCTTGGATGCTTGCATAAAAGCTTTCAATAGACTTGAATGATGTTTATGCTGATAGATATTCTACAGAGTCTGATTGATATTAATCAGGTCTCGAATTATAGCCCCTAACTGCCTGTGCTGCATCTTGTGTCAGTATTAGCTTCTGGATTTGTCATTTCCAGAGTAGAACATTTTATAGTTGTCTGACAGAAAATACACCATTCTAGTTCACTTGAGCTTACTCTGACACCAAGCACTGCAATGTTTATACACTCAATTTCTTCTTAATGGTTTCCAGTTTACCTTGATTCATACATCATATTTCTTGCCCCAATTGTGTGTGTTGTACAACATTACACTTTTCTTTCACTTCTGTGCATCTCAGCCATTAGACATCCTTTCTTTTAATCTAGTTGTGTCATTAGTGACAGAGCGATTTATACTTGTCCTTTGCTCTTCCCCAGCTGCTGATTTAATACTTTCTGACCTGTGAATCTCATCTTCCAGCACTATCTCTTTTTTCATTTTGGGCTGTCTCATCGTAGGGTTTTTATGGTAAGGAAGGTCCAGGAGAGGTTTACCATTGCCACTTTCTACATAGTACCAACAAGAGTTAGCTTGAATATCTGTCATTGCCTCCTCCAGTGTCACCTTCATCTGCCACTTCTTCCCCGTAGCTGCCTTGAGGAGAGTAGATGCATCTGAGTCATCTCAGCTGCAACTATTCTGCCTTGGGTGACACTGCTAGGAGTCCAGGTTTATAATAGAATATGGCATCTTGACAGCATTTCAGCTTCACTGACACACTCAAACCCCTTCACTATGTTAAGGTGTACATCCAAGAAGGGGATCAGTCATGTTAGCTGGGGCTAATGGGAGTTGTGATAGAAAATACGTGGAAGGTGCCAGGACCAAGAAGGCTACCTAACATGTGGGGTTATAGAATTTTGTCTTGCTTAGCCTGTGTGGCCTGTGCTCCTTGCAGCTAGCAAGTGTGATCATGTGGACTAGAATCCAACTTCTTTTCATGTGATGAAAGATCTCCAGCACTCGTTGTTGGTGTCCATGTTCTGTGTTCCCTATTGTAATTGCTACTGGCACTCTACCTTTATTCTTTCAACTAATATACTGCTGTATTCTTCCTGGCTGTCGGCCATATGCTTTGTACATTTTTATCTCTATCACGCTTTGCATTTGCTAAGGCATCCTTAGATCTTAATTCCAAGTGATGCAGTTATAATCT